TAATATTGTCATAAGTATGTAGGGTGCCAGGTGGGTCCTAGACTCACTGGGGGGACCACTCTGTAAATGACGTAAATGTGTAACCACTGGATTGTATTCCTGAAACTAATGTAAAATAATATTGAATGTCAATTGTAATTGACCAAAAAAGTGTTTTTAAATAGCAGGGAAGGGCAAAATGGTCCCCCGAGTTGAGGAAGAGAGGTTAGGCGTTCGGTCAGGCCGCGATGAGCAGTGTGGCCGGGCATGCATTTTGTGGTTGATTTTCATACTTCAGACACATGTCGCATTCCCCAGTTTTAATGCTTTTAATAGAGCACAGACTTCCGTCCGTCCGTGGTGATGAGACAGGTTTAGGAAAAGCAGCTCAGGCATCTGGCGCCAACGAGCTTACAGGGATCCAAGCGTGAGGATGAAATTGTCATCTGACGTGCCGATTTGGCAAAGGCTCAGCACGCCTTGGAGATTGCTGTGCGGGCCCACGCTGTGTGGCAGGTGCTTCTGTGACTGATTCTCTGCTCTTGGCGCTAAAGTTACGTCACTGGCTAAGTCCGTCACTGGCTAATATTGCACAGTCTCCCCCCTCCCCCAATTCATCAAATCCTCTTGGGTTCAGCCAATAGGCAGTTTGACCACTTAAGAGTCACAGGATGTTGAGCTGGGTGGGGTTAGAGGACACCTGATCATTAGGAGCTGAAAAGGGGTGTCCCCCATGGTCCCACCAAGTGGCAGGCTGGAATGAGAAGCAGGCCCCTGGCCCACTCTAGTATATCCTACTTCTTCCCACTTGGCGTGCCCCTGGCCTTGCCCCTACCTCATCTGCATCCCAGCTGTGCCCTATTCCTGACATTGAGTGGGTTTGATTCCTGGTAAAGGGCATGTGTCAGGGTTGCAGGTTTGACCCCTGCCCCAGTCGGGGTGGGTGGGGGAGACAACCAATCTCTCTCTCTCTCTCTCTCCCTCTCCCCACCCCCCACCCTTCCTCCCATTCTCTCTAAAAATCAATGGGAAAAATATCCTCGCGTGAGGATTAACAACAACAAAAAGATGCCACTCAACAATCAGGCATTGATCACATGCCCACCTGCCGCCTGGACACAGCATAGCCCTGCTCCCAGGATGTCACTGTCCCAGGCGGGAGGCAGACCAGTGAGGTGGGTGGGACCAGAGAGGAACTTGGGGAGCAGAGGGGGAGGTTCACCAGGTGAAGGCAGGGCTGGTGGGCCCAGGCCGGGGAGACCAGAGATGAGGGCAGCCGTGGGCTGGGGGCAGGGTGCCCTGCAGGAGTGGCCAGAGGACCGCCAGCAGCGGATGGCTGTCCCGGAGGGGGCAAGCTTGTCAGGGGCTGGATGTCCAGCTGCCAGGATGTCAGAGGGCATTCCTCGCTGGGTAAGGTGGGGCCAGCTGCCCAACGTGCCAGCCAGTCTGAAAAGACTGCTTCAATGAATGAAAGATAATGTCACGTAGGCAGGACCGGGCCATTCCTACAGAACGGGCCCGTAGTGGAGTGATGGGAACACAGAGGTCTGCCCCCACCATTACAAACAGCGGTCACCCCGCTCA